CCCGTTCTTGGTTCCTCGCAGATCAGGAGTGAAAGGTGCGGTTCGAGACTTGGCGAACATGGGAAATGTACTGGCCCGCTCTCGGAACGCGCTTGCCAGCAGAAAGCCTTCCAGGGCATCTGTTCCTGCCTTCTGACAGCCACGAGCGTGGGATGTGTCGACCCCAGCGTATTTCTGTGGCTTTGGCATACATCTGTTTCATATTCCCACATTCTCCTAAGAAACAATGAATAGGATTTCCCTCTTGTTTTTTTTTTTTTCCTTCCCCATTTGTTTGAAAATATAGTTTTGAAAGAGAGGGGGGAATGTCAGCACTTTAAAGCAGTACTTGCTTGGGGATAAAAATAATGCACCTGGATGAATAAAAAAAATCAATCAGAATGTGTTTTGAATGTGTAGTCAGTAAGTTTATATAGGTTATAAAAAGGCCGTGTCCTTTATGATATGTCTGACTTCAGTCTCATGTTTTGCTTATTTATTGTACTTCTGCTCAGCTAATAAAGTGGGGCTTTTTCAACTTCAGATAGTTCCTCAGCGCTGGATGGCCAAGTTCTCAAACTAAATGGAATACAATTAAATGTAAAAACTCTTCTCTTTGCAACCATAAGACAACAACTGTTGAAAGCTGTTTCAACAAACTCAAATTTTGGGGGCTTAGCTGATGAGTTCTGCCAGTTTGGTAATACAGCTTTCTTAAAGGCAATGTGTGGGACTGTAGCCAGCGGGAAGTTCAGCAAGCTTTCGCTTGCACTGCAAAGATTCTTAGAAGTAGGAAAAAAAAAAAAAAAAAAGTTGTGTTTGGGATCTAGCAGCAGCTGTGAGAGTTTTTGAATATTCATAAAAGACAGCTGTAAAGAAAGACTATTCCTTGACATTTACAGTTGTGCTACTGTACAGTGCTTATGTTGTAAGAATGAATATGCAGGGAGCAGTACAAGGAACCACGGTTGCTAAGATATATAATTAATAAAAAATAATTACATATGTGCTTAAAGATGCAGATTAAAATCAAATGAATGCTTTATGTAATTAGTTAAATTTAAAATCACACCTCCTTTGGAGGCAACACAACTGCTTTCTCTGTGCTTGTCAAGTTACAAATGCTTGGTGCTTCTTAAGTGGAAGAGGATTTTAAAACACATATGTGTATATACATACAACTTTTGGAAAAAAAGGTTCTGTTTGACTGATTTATGTTGCCTGTGCAGCGTGAATGCAGGAATAGGAAAATGAAAGGATTCACTGTAAGCATATGCTTTATCAACAGTGGTTTTTAACAAGCTCTAATGATATTGTTGCTTCATGTGACTGTCTTATGTTCAAATAGAAAATTGGGCAACTTTCAGATTTAAGGTTAAGCCTGCTAGTTTGGAAATAAATAGAGGCAAAATTAATCTGTGAATTGATTTAACAGTTATTAATATAGCTGCTTTTGTATCAGGCACTTCTCAAGAGTGTAATGGTGCTTATGTATTCTTTAGGAAATGTCAGCTTTCTACTTCAGCAGGAAAATAATTCTTATTTATTATATAACATGGAAACCTTTTTTTCTTAGTTGCAGAAAACCGTGAATGAGGTGAACACAGAAGTGGTAAAAGATCTCATGTTGACTCTGTGACTACTGAATGGGGAGCCCAGGATGGCGTCTGGCATGGAGGAGATCCCAGTTAAAGTTGCAGTTCGAATCAGACCTCTGCTTTCCAGAGAAGTACTTCATAACCACCAAGTGTGTGTGAGATTAGTCCCAAATACACAACAAATTATCATTGGGGAAGACCATGTCTTCACTTTTGATTTTGTATTTGGCAAAGACTCAACCCAACAAGAAGTTTATGCTGTTTGCATTAAGCCTCTTCTAGTCTCTTTGACTGAGGGATACAATGCTACAGTTTTTGCATATGGACAGACAGGTTCTGGGAAGACTTACACCATTGGAGGTGGCCACATCGGTAGGTTATAGGAAGTTTGGACTTTTCTTAAACTGGTGAATGGTGTATTTGTGCAAGTTAAACACTTAATATATAACAGATAATGCTGCAGAATTTTTAAGGGATAATGAAAAATGTATAGTAAAAAAAAAAAGCTTCCAAAGTTTGTGATCATTAAAGCAGTCTAAAAACAAATTCTCCATAAATCAGGCTATACTAAAAATATCTAAGAAAAGCAATTTAAAGTGCTCTTTCTCAGTCCCCATTTTAACATGAAATTTAAATGAGTGTTTCCCAGGACATATGACATCATAGAATTTTATTATTATTTGCCTTCCAAATGGATATAAATCAATTATTCTAAATCTCGTGGTAGGTATTAAAATCTTCCTCTTATTTAGAATAATAGAATAACAGAATAATTTAGGTTGGAAAAGACCCTTAAGATCATCAAGTCCAACTGTAAACCTAACACTGCCAAGTACACCATTAAACCATGTCCCAAAGTGCCACATCTACACGTCTCTTAAATACTTCCAGGGATGGTGACTCCAACACTTCCCTGGGCAGCCTGTTCCAATGCCTGACAACCTTTTAAGTGAAGAAACTTTTCCTAATATCAATTCTAATCCTACCCTGGTGCAACTTGAGGCCGTTTCCTCTTGTCCTATCACTTGTTACTTTAGAGAAGAGGCCAGCACCCACCTCACTACAACCTCCTTTCAGGTAGTTGTAGAGAGTGATAAGGTCTCCTCTCAGCCTTCTCTTCTCTAGGCTAAACAACCCCAGCTCCCTCAGCCACTCCTCATAAGACCTGTGCTCCAGACCCTTCACCAGCTTTGTTGCCCTTCTCTGGACCTGCTCGAGCACCTCAATCTCCTTCTCGTGGTGAGGGGCCCAAAACTGAACACAGGATTCAAGGTGCGGCCTCACCAGTGCCGAGTACAGGGGCACAATCACTTCCCTAGTCCTGCTGGCCACACTATTGCTGATGCAGGCCAGGATGCCATTGGCCTTCTTGGCCACCTGGGCACACTGCTGGCTCATGTTCAGCCGGCTGTCGACCAGCACCCCCAGGTCCCTCTCTGCTGGGCAGCTTTCCAGCCACTCTGCACTGAGCCTGTAGCATTGCAGGGGGTTGTTGTGACCAAAGTGCAGGACCCGGCACTCACCCTTGTTAAATCTCATACAGTTGGCCTCTTAATTCTGCTTACTGTTGAAACTTCACCTGTCTTTCCTCTACTGGTAGTTATTTAATGTTCTTGTAAGTAATATTGCTAGCCAAATTCTTTAGGTAGTGGATGTCACAATCTAAGCCTGTTCATAGCTCAGCAATTTTAATTTTCTAGATATATTTACTAAATTTATGGTTACATATGAGCAACCCTTTATTTTTTTGGTAAAAGAGATCCTTGTTATCCTCTCATAGGTAAACAGCAAGTTTCCATGTTCTTGAATAAAGAACACAAATTAAAAAAAAAAAAGTAAAAACAGAGCTTGGCATTAGTGTGCTGTATCTACTTTGAAAAATAGGAAATTACTGTAAATGTTGGTCATAAATCTTGTTTTACCAAGTTACTAATGGTCTTTGTTGTATTTAAGTGGGATTTATAGTTTCTCAAACCCTTGCAAAGTCATTATCCACCATAATGGGTAGGAATAAAGAACAAATCTATATACTCTGAGGAGTATAGATTTAAAGTAGACTCCATATTTTTCATAAGTTTCATCGCTGTAACATTATATAATTTAGAACTTAACTCTGAATCCAATTAATGAATGCAAACAAATATTCCGAACCCCAGAAACGCATATTTACAAAAATCCTTGGGAACAGTGAGCTCTTCAGATTCCTTAGTATATTAAGTAGCAAATCTTACAGACTTCTGTTGATCTTCAGTCTTTGTAATTTATGCGACAGCATGACTCCAAGCTTCTGTGACATCTTTGCTTGTATTTTAGCACCAGTTACTGTGGATGAAAAGGGCATAATCCCACGGGCTATTCAGGAGTTATTTCAGCTTATTTCTGAAAACTGTAACATTGACTTCCATGTGAAAGTATCTTATATAGAGGTTTACAAGGAAGAACTTCGAGATTTATTGGAGTTGGAGAGCTCTGTGAAAGAATTACATATACGAGACGATGAAAAGGGAAATACAGGTAGGATTTCAGCTTGGTTTGGTTTCATTTGTGTGCCCAAGTTATTCTTGCTTTCTCTTAGAAGAGCTTATTCATTATTAATACTAGAAAAAAGTTATATTTTCAGAATATTGAAATACTAGGGCCTGAGCAGTGGGGCCCTGAACCAAATTTGATTTCTAGATGAACCTCACAACCTGACAATATACCTAATATGTACAATATTGATCATATATGCAATGTATTATCTTGTGAATATATGCCCATTTATAAAAGCTTTGTTGTAACGCTTATAGAGCATTGCTGTAATGCTTGCTGTGTAAGTCAGCAGAAAAATGCTAATTGTGTAACGGTAGCCTCAT